GTCATTGGGACAAAACCCTACTGAACAAGTAATAATGGCACAGTTTAACTTTTATAAAATTTAATCTAAAAACGTAATCAAAATTTTATATGAATATAATAAATGTTCAGATTTTCAACAAAAAGAAAGAGTCTATGCTTGCTTAATTGGTTTTGAAATTAAATTTTGAAAAAATTATTTAATTAATATAGAATTCAAGTGATTAATTAAGTGATAAATGTTAAATAGATCGAATAATATGAGAGTACTCAGTACAAAAACATTTTACTGTACGAAAAGTTTCTTCCTAAAAATATGAGTTTCCTTCTAAATTTTCCTAGAATCTCACTTAGAATCGTACATTAGTAATTATTTGAAAGTATATCATTAAATGTTAATTTTGTTAAAACTGGAAGAATTTAAACTTAACTGATATTTGAAAAAAAGATTAATAATCAAATACAATAATAATATTGAATACTTGATGAGAAGAATTTGTCTGAGAAATGTATGAAAATTATCAAAAAGAAACTATAATTCAATTTGCAATGGAATAGAAAGCAATGATTAATGTGATGGCAATAATTCATGTATGTGCAGAAAATCTATGAATATAAAATAATAAATAAGTAAAGTAAGTAAAAAGTATACGTGTTATCACGCGCAAAAATTAGATTACTTGCAGGAAATAATGGAAATGATAAATGAAGTTGATATTGATGGTAATGGACAAATTGAATTCCCAGAATTTTGCGTCATGATGAAACGAATGATGAAAGAAACAGATTCAGAAATGATTCGTGAAGCATTCCGAGTATTCGATAAAGATGGAAATGGTGTTATTACAGCTCAAGAATTTCGATACTTTATGGTTTTAAATTTTATATTATACTTCAAAAACAAATACAAGCTATCAAAATTATTTTGTTAATAATAATAATAATAATGATAATAATAATATTAATCATAGAAAATTTTTTATCATGATTATCAACAATAATCATTGCTATCACAATTTTTTGAAAGTTAACAGTTTACAAGTTTAGGAGAATTTTTAGATATCAAAAGTCAGAGATATTTTCTTAATCACTTTTATTATAAATTAGCGTAAAATATTTTAAGTTAACGTAACGTTAAGAATTAATGTTTCTCAACGTCACGTTAACTTACAACAAAAATTTGTTGAGAATTAAACAAAGCACGTGTTTAATTCTTAACAAGTTTTTTCTTTGTAATTTTATTATTATAATATTTTCCGAAAACTTATTAGGCATTGATTTTTTTGAATTTAGTATTTAAAATATATTTTCACAGTACTTTCAGATTTTAAAAAATTTTTCAATCCACTTTTTAAAATATATTCTCATAGAACTTTTAAATTAGACCTTTTTATGCAAGTGAAGAAAACTTCTTAATTTAATTACTTACAAATTTACTTTTCACGTCTAATTTAGGTTCATATGGGAATGCAATTTAGTGAAGACGAGGTGGATGAAATGATTCGAGAAGTAGACGTCGACGGTAAATACTCAAAAAATATATAAATTCTCCAAATTTTACTACAAACTATGCATAATTTTCTCTACGCAATTTGAAAAAATCTTTTTTGATAAATTTTTTTTGCAGTTAAAAATTATTAAAAATTTTATGCTTAATTTAATTTTTCAACTAAAAAAATGTACACTACTAGTAGTATATATTATTTTTTTCTTAAAAATTTGAGAATTAAGTCAAAAACACTTGACTCAATACTTAAGTACTGAATACTCAAATACTTAATATTTAAAATTTGAGTATTCAGTACTTGAGTATTTTTAATCTAAAAATGAGATTAAGCTTAATTAGTATTATTGGCGTCTGATGATTCTTCAATTTCGTATGCAAATAATTATTACACATATTATTATTAATTTTAATAATTAGTTTAGGTGATGGAGAAATTGATTATGAAGAATTTGTAAAGATGATGAGCGAACGATAAAATAATACAAAATTTATATTGGTTTACATTCACCCAAAAATGGAATGATCAAAATGATCAAAGTTTTGTAGAGCATTGCTTTTATATCATTTTACAAGATCTCATCCATGTTATCTTCCCCATTTTTTTAAAAATAAAATCTCTTATGAATTGTGACCTATGAACTATAATCTATTTATGCGCTTATTTGAAATTGATTGTTTGATTAATAATTATGTAATTTTGTCAATTTAAAATATTTAAACAAAACTATTAAAAACGCAAGTATTTGCGATCAGCTACAAGTCTAATTTCGCATAGCCTTTTTCAAGCAATAACTGCTTTATAAACTTTTCTGATTTGAAAAGAAAAACAATTTACATTCTAAGATTTAAAGCATAAAAATAAAAGTGCTAACCTTACTTAATATCAAAATTAAAATTAATAAGTGCAATCATTTTTTTTTAAATTTTTTAAGCAAAAAAACGATTACTTTATAAAGTCATTCCAAATTTCTATCATATAATTAAACTATTTGTAATATATTTGAAATAAATAAAAATCGGATCCAATATTAAAGTGTACACCACAGTTTTGACCATAACTTACATCTCTAAAGTTATTGATTTTCCCGACAAAATATTTGCATATTATTTATACTTAAGCAGTTTATTGACTTTTATATCAAAAATATCGGGAATAAAAATTATTGCGCAAATTTTTAAAATTCACAGAGAAATTAATCTCTGGTCATCAATTGCATAAAAATCGAAATGAAATTCAAAATACAGCAGAACTCACAATATTTATGCAACTTCTAAGATGTTTTTTTTGGGTGATAATAACTTTCACATAAATATTTAATTCATAATCAATGCTCGCACTATTATGAGAAAATACCTCAAAGTTATAAGTAATTACTACTATTACTATCTAATTATTATTATAATAAAGTAATCATTCTTATTATACATTGTTATTATTTGCGACTTCTCTCTCAAAATAAATATTTTTCACGAATTCTAAACGTAATCACGTCTACACATCAAGTGAATTTGTTAAAGTCTGATTTCAAACGAATAATTTTCTGAGATTTAATTCAACAAATGCTAAATGAGATGAATAGCACAATATAATTTAAAATGTCAGATCATCGTAAAAAATTATCAGAAACATTGCAAATCGAAATTGAATTTATACAAATTAGTAAAAAAAACAATCGAATTTTTTACAATTAGTGAAATTTACGCTAAAAAATAATTGCTTAGAAATTAAATAATTTCAAATTTTTTATAAAAAAATAGAAAATTTTGAATATAAGTCATATTCTGAATGCATTAAGAAAATTAAGACTTAAAGCAAAGTCCAGAATTTTAGATTTAAATTTTTTAAAAATTATCATTTAAAATATCCAACACTGTTTTGTTTTAAATATATATATAATTTCTCTTTTCAAAACTTTTTTCAAATAAAATAATTTTAAAAATATATCATTTTATGGCTAATAGTTTATTTTTTTATATTACTCTTTAGAATCCTTCTGCGATTAGGATTTTAAGAAGCATATTTGAATAATTTAAATGATATGCAAAATTAAGTAATCAATATGATAATTTTTACATCTTCAAATGTATAAAAGATGGCTATTCACGGATTTAAGTTACTTTTTGCTAGTCTCGACTAATGGAATGAGCATCGACATCGACAACTTCATAGATCGGCTTCTGTCTGTTGGGTTGAGTGGTGGTCTCTCGCTCACCAAATGTGTTTCTGAACCAGAAATTGGTGTGTTCTGTGTGAATTAGCAATTTTATGACAATTCTGTCAATGATTAATCAAATCATCTCCGAAGAATCCAATAATTACAGAATAATTATGAATAACTGTCAACAAACCAAGTTATAGTATTCCAATATCATAATTTAATTTAATTTAATTTAATTTAATCATTCATTAATTTATATTGCTGTTATTTGATTGCAATTATGATTTTTGATAAGATTTGTTGTAATTTAACAATTTAAAAAGCAAAGAACTTACTCTAAAACTGCAACTTGTATTTTTTATCGCTGTTTTTAAAAAAACCCAAACTATTACTTTTTTTTCTCAAATCAGACCATAATAAAAAATAATTTTTATTTGAAACAAATTTGATTGCATTGGTTTTTCAAACTTAAACAATGATAATTCATGATCCAATTTACTATTTAAAGTGAATATTTGAACTCAAATGGCAAATTTTAATTTTCAGTTTCCTTACTTGGTACTGCCCGCCAAATTTTTCTCACTCAACCGCCACTTGTTGAAATCGAACCTCCTGTCAAAGTCACTTCATTTTTTAAATAAATTAATTATTGTTTTAACTATTTTTTAGTAAATATTTAAATCAAAATCACAATATATATTTCTTATCACTAATAGAATATCCTTACTAGAAATTTGGAAAGAAAATTTAAACTTCATTTAAAGTATTGTAATGGAAAAAATAGAAGTAAGAAAATTTTGAGGTTTGTGGGGATCTTCACGGGCAGTACGCTGATTTACTTCGCTTATATAATCGATGCGGCTTTCCACCTGATTCTAATTATATTTTCTTAGGTGACTACGTTGACAGGTAAGTAAGTAACTTCTGAAGAAAAAAAAACCTTTGAAGCTAAAAATTTTTCTAAGAAGAATTTGCATTAAGTAATAGTAACAATTTCAGACTAATAATATATTAATTAATTGGCAGAAAAAATATATTAAAACAATTTTTTATATTCATAACGCTGATTAATTATGTAAAATTCAGAGGCAAGCAAAGCATTGAAACTATTTGCTTGCAATTCTGTTATAAAATAAAATATCCTGAAAATTTTTTCCTGCTTCGGGGAAATCACGAATGTGCCGCGATTAATCGCGTTTATGGATTTTACGATGAATGCAATCGACGTTACAGCATACGCTTGTGGCAAATGTTCCAAGTAGAATATGCTTTTTTAATGCTTAATTAATTTTTTATTGTACTTAATAATTTTTTCTTTAATTTTTTATGCAGTAAAAACACTTAATTTTATTTATATTTCCAGTCATTGTGTTAATGTTAAATTAATTTTTACTTCATTAGTGATCAAACTTAATTCATTACTTATCAAGTTTAACGACACAGTTTGTAGTTTATATGAGTTTTTATGCAAAAAATTCATGAATTCTGAATCAACCAATAAACGTTGCTTTAATTAGATTTGTTTTTAGAAGGAGCTGGAAGTTTCGAATTTTTTACAAAATACACTTAAGCATGAATTATACTTGAGAATTATTAGTCATATACACTAAAGTGGGCTTAACTTAGTACACCTGAGTTGACTTAATATACTTAAGTTTTGTTTGCTTTTAGTCAACTTACTTAAAAGATCAAAATTGAACCCAATCAGAATCTAAAAAGTAACAACTTTAGGACGTATTCAATTGTCTTCCATTCTGTGGTTTAATAGCTGGCAAAATATTTTGTATGCATGGTGGATTATCACCAAAATTGGCATCTTGGGAACAGGTTTCTAAACCATTCAACTTATAAATTATCTCGCCAGTACTTATGAATATAATTCACTTTCCATTCTTTTGACTAACTTTACAGTGACTTTAATTTGCTAGTTTTTTAGTAACTTTACTTTGAGTAACTTTACTAGTATAATAGAATGATCAATAAAATATGCACATTGAAGACTAATCAGAATTTTTGGTGTTTTTTGATATAAATCTTATAACAGTCCATTATAAATGAAGTGATAAACAGGAAATCTGATAAGATATGAAATTTTAAACTGCATTTTAATCAAATTCTGATAGAAAGGCTGATTTTTGGTCGGTTATGCTTGTAAACATCAAGAGTAGTTTTATGAACGTATACAAAAAAGTAAATGACTGATAATATTTCGCGATGAGTGAAAAAACCTGAAAATAGTCTTTTTAATTAGATTATTTTAGAAGAATGCAAATTACTGAAGCTAGAAATTATGCAGAAAGTCAGAATCTTAACTTTATTGCAGTTTAAGTATAATATGATAAGTCAAATACAGAATGATACGTTTAGTTACTTCATCTTGTAGAAGCTAATTTCTACCTTTGCTAAACTGAAAAATTTATCAAGTATTAATTGCATAATATTTCATTGCTTTATTCTTAACATGAATTTAAATAAATCTTCAGAAAAACCATTATAGATTCTACGCATTGAAAGACCTATTGACCCTCCAAACCCATCAGTTCAAATTGATTTACTCTGGGCTGATCCAGATAAATGGGCGCGGGGTTGGCAACAAAATACACGTGGCGTATCGTTTGTATTCGGAGCTGACATCGTAAATACATTCTGTCAACAAATGGATATCGATCTTGTGGCCAGGTTTTTGCCTTATGCAAATTAAATCTTTAGTTAAAAATATAATAATAACAGTAATAATAATTATAAATATAAATATTATAATATAATACTTGAATCAAATCAAATCAATATCGCACGGAGGTTATTCTTCGTTTCTTCATTATTGATTCTGATTCTGATTCTGACGATGGATCGTATTCTGGCATTCTCGCTTCACTCGCCCCGCTCTCAGTTCTAATTACAACTATGTTAAATATTATATTAAAAAAATTATATTGTAGACATGATATTGAGATGGCAGTTTTCAGGGCACATCAGGTTGTCCAAGATGGTTATGAATTTTTTGCGAATCGAAAACTCGTGACCATCTTTTCGGCACCTCATTATTGCGGTGAATTCGATAATGCCGCTGCGATTATGACCGTAGATGATCAATTGCTCTGTTCATTTGATGTACTACGTTCAACCAATAATCCTATTCGCGTATCGCAGTCATAGATCGATATTTAAGCAATTAGTGATCAAATAATATCAGTGATCACAATTTTCACCTATTATTTTATGAAAGTTGAAGCAGGAAATGTAACTAACTTTGAATTAATAAAATTTTTTTCATCAGTTACAAGGAATCAAACATTTATAGTTTGCGATCATAAATAATTTATATAACAATTTAGTACTGTAATTTGTGCTATATTACTTTATTGCTACTGTATGAATTATTCAATATCGCAAAGAAAAAAATAGACAAATTGATGAAGTGAAAAACGATTTTTAAGATGAATAAACCTAAAATTGTTTATAATTTCGAAGCGATCGACAGAACAATCTGAAATCGAACTTTAAAATCGATCAGATAAATAAGAAAAACAATTCTGATCAGTTCAATTATCAACTTCTAATCAGTAAATTGGAAGTAAAATGAGAACGAAATTCTGCAAGATTTTTAGAATATTAAAGTATAATTTATTTCCATGCGATGAAAAACACGTGGATTTGATGTTTATTTGAAACTTACATTTACATTTATTTGGGATACAATTTAAATTTTACTTACAATTCTAATATTTTTGTTCGAATATCGATGTGAAAGCATTTGTGAATTTAATTTGAAATTAATTAATTTAATTTTAAATTTATTACATGTGAAATGTTGCCAAAAATTGCACATGATGCACAACTAATCCTTTTCAAATATTATAAATAATTATGATCAAAATTCCATTGAAAAATAATAAAGCAAACACTGAAAAGTAATGAATGTGAAAAAACAATAAAAAATTATGTTTGCTTACACAAAAAAGCTGAAAATTAATTGTGAATATTCATTGAAAGCGAAAAATTGTGATTAATAAATATGCTGATCGAGAATCAAAAAATGCAAAATCAAAGCAGCACACAAAATAACACTTATTTTTATTTTTTAGTTCTGTTACAAATATTTTTTTGAATAATAAGAGGTAAAAAAGTTAAATAAAGTAATTTTTCATTTGTAATTGAAACACATTTACTTAATATTGAAAATTTATAAATTAAAATTAATGATGTCCATAATTTTGGTTTGTAAATTTTAGGTGTAAGCAAACGTATATTGTTATTATTATTATTAATATTATTGTTATTATTATTATTATTATTGGTATTATTATTATTATTATCATTATTATTGTTATCATTATTATTATAAATATTGTATTAAGTGAATTATGTTTCAATTACAAATGAATAAGCAAACAAATGGACTCTAATTAATATAATAATAACAATAATAATAATATAAGAACAAATAGCAATTTTCGCAGGTATTCTAGTTAATTATAAAGAAAATAATTCACCACAAATGGGCAAAATAGTATTGTTGTACTCCAATAATACGCAATTCATTATATTGCTAATATAGTCATTTGCGTATTACTGGATCTGCATATTATTTATAATTTGTAGATTATTATTCGAATGCTAACATAATAATACTTGGCATTCCATCGATTCCTTGTTTGATGTTTTTTGCTAAGTATCTATCACATGTGATGTTGTCATTTGATCTGTTTACTTTGTTATGCTCATAACACGTCAGAAATCTCGTAGAATTGATTGTGCCCGTTTAAATTGTGTTTAAGGTATATTTTAAATTTTATAAGTGCTATTGTAATTATTGCTGCATTATTTTTCA